TATTCACTCCAACGTTAAGGAGCTGTTTCCAGTTAGGCGGAATGGCGGAAAAAATGCCTTGTAGGAGTAAGTAATCTGACAAGGAGAGATTTTTCTCTCTAAAAGCGTCCCACCTTTTTAATTTTGAGTCATTTGAGAGAATATCTCCAAGTTTCACAAAACCTGCTTCTTTTATTCTCTTGTTGTATATTGATTTCTTGTTAATCAAGAGGTTCTGGTTGTTCCAGATAGTCACATTTAAAACGTCCTGTTTTGTAGCTATTATATCGTGATTGCCATTAAAGTCAGACAAAACTTCAAGACATTCTTTATAAAAAGAAGGTAGTTTACAGGGTAGGCGCGATGGATTGAAATTGCACTGAAGCAGAAAACTGGTTCCTACATTCTTAAGATAATGAGACAAGAAAACTTTCCACGGACTACTATTATCATCTAAATACCTTGCCAGACACACAATTCTTTGAGTTTTAATTAAAGATTCAGGGTGAGGCATTTTGAGGCCACCGTCTTCGTATTCACTAATTAAGGCTAGTCTTTTGACTTTGTCTTTGCCTCTCCACACGAAATTGAATATCACAGAATTTATGCTTTTAATTATATCCTTATCAAAAGAGATAAAGGAGGCCCGATACATAAACTTAGGCATAGCAAATGTTTTGACTAATCGAATTTTACCAATTAATGTTAAGTTTCTCCATTGCCAGCAACTTAAGGACTTTCTTATTGACTTTAAAGTAAGGTCAAAGTTAAGCTCTCTGCTTTTACGCTGATCATAAGTGAAAAATATACCTAGTATTTTAATTGGCTCATTCACCTTATTAATATCGAGAGCTTCGTGATTTCGATAGGAACTTCCTAACCAGTAGGCTTCTTTTTTGTCCTTATTTAGTTTAAGCCCTGAACATTCACCATATGTGTTCAATAAGGAACTAAGAGAGTCATAAGATTCCTTATCGCGTAAAAAGTTTGTTAAGTCATCGGCGAAAGTGATACATTTGATTTCTTTGTTTTCTACTACTATACCTTTTATATCTCGAGTCTGTTTGATAGCGGTAAGGAGGGTTTCCAAGGCTAAAATAAATAAATAGGGCGAGAGAGGGTCACCCTGTCTAACCCCTCTTCCGATTGAAAAAAGAGGAGTTGCTACACCATTATTCATAATGCAGCTGGATATATTAGTATAGAAAAGACGTATCCACCTAATAAAGGATTCTCCAAAATTGAACTTTTCCAAGGTCTTAAAAAGGAAGTTGCAACTTAAGGAATCAAACGCTTTCTCGAAGTCAATGGTCACCATGAGACCGGGGAGATTGTATAACTTTGTATAGTCCATAATATCACCTATAGTTCGTACTGCATCAAAGATGTTCCTTCCTTTCACATATGCGCACTGTTCAGCACTAATTAAGTCGGAAAGAACTTTCTCGAGTCTTAATGTTATAGCTTTGGACGCAATCTTAACATCCACGTTTAACAGAGAAATGGGTCTCCAATTCGCGACATATCTTTTATCCTTGTTTTTCTTCTCAATAAGTTTTATAATTCCTTGTTTTTGGGAGTTTGCCAATTCTCCTTTTCCATAGGAACTGTTTAGAGAGTCAACTAACAAATGTCCTAAGGTGGGCCAAAATACTTGATAAAATTCTGCTGTCAGGCCATCGTTACCTGGGGATTTTCCGTTTTTAAACGTTTGTAGAGCTTTAAAACTCTCCGCCTTTGTAAGAACCCCTTCACAAATTTGTTTGGCATCTTCGTTTAAAGTTGGCAAACGACATTGGTCAAGAAACGCATCGCTAACATTGTTATGATTGGGTGGGTCGCGGTTAGAGTACAATTCAGTATAGAAGTCATACAATTCTGATAAAATTGATTTGGGATTAGTTATTAATTTACCGCCTTTATCAAAAAGTTTACGGACGCAAGAGTTGCTCATCTTTCTACTTTCTAAATTTAAGAAATATTTGTTATTTTTCTCACCATGTTCATACCAATTGGCTCTAGAACGAATAACATTACCTTGAATAATATAATCATACAGTGAGTTGTACTCAGATTTGATCGTTTCCAGCTGTACAGCGATATTTTCTGTCGGATTAGAGTCAAAAATCTCTTGGCATTCTTTCAATTTATTCTCGATTTCGCAAAGACGACTTCTCCTTTCTTTTGCCTTTGTTTTGCTATATTTCATTGTTACTTGTCTTATTTTGTATTTAATTAAATCCCACAGAAGACCTTTGTCTAACACTTCATTAAATTCTACTAGCCACGAGGGAACGTTGTCTTTTATAAGATTGATATATTCTGGATCTTCTAACAGGCTAGAGTTAAATTTCCAATATGACGGCCCAGTTGGTTGCATTTCAACACTGTTAACCTGGAGCACAATAGCAGCGTGGTCTGTTTTAATGGCAGAAATTATACCTGTGCTGTCCACGTCATCTTGAAAATCATCGCTTATTAGCCAGTAGTCTAACCGATGTTGGACTAAAGGCTTATTTTGTTTCCACGTGTAACGCTTTTTGTCCGGGTTCCTTAGTCTCCATATATCTACTAGGTTAAAGTCTAACATTAGCTCGCGGATTTTGGTTACCACGTCTTTTTTTTCTGTTTTACTTCCATAGCTATCAAGTTGAAGACTTAATGGCACATTAAAATCACCTCCCATAATAAACCTGTAGTCCTGGTCATAGTCACTCTCAAGTAAAGTAGTCCTAAGGTTTTCATAGAAGTCAACAGCGTCATGGGTATTGTTAGGAGCATAAATATTGATCAACAAAACGGGAGAATCTTGAACTAACGCTTCAACGATGACGAATCTGCCCTGGCTATCTTTCTTGACCGACTTCAACTCAAATTGAAGGGTCTCACGTATTAACACCAGAACGCCTTTGCTATGATTGGATCCGTGCGAATAATACATATCTCCCAGCCACTGAAATTTCCAACTATCAAAAACATCTGGCGTACTATATGTCTCTTGCAAAAAAATAATATCCGCTTTCTGGTTCCTAGCCCATGTAAAGATCGATTTGCGTTTGTTGAGATCACGAATTCCTCTAACATCGAAGGATAGAACATTAAAGCAAACGTTATTCATAAGAGTAAGTTGATAGATATTACATTCTTAAAATATGCAAATGAGCCGGGTATAAAAATCGAGTGCGCTTTGAATGAAATAAATTGGTATCTAACAGACTGCGATAAAACTACATGAACATAAAACGAAAACGAGAACGAAAACGAAGACTGAGGGCGAAAATAAGTTAACCAATCCCACATACCTCTTGCTCCAGAAGAACTGTTTACGAGCACGAACAAACGCCTAGTACATCATTCCACCCGAAACCCTTTCACCGGAATGTGAAAAAAAAAATCAAACTGGTAGTGCCCATGAGGTGTGAGAAAGAATATGCATAACGGATAAAGTAGAAAGTGACAAAAATGGCAGGAATTTTCTACTGCTTCTTAAATTAGCATTTTCTAGAGAAAAAGAATGATCATGATAGCAACGTTAACCCAAATAAACTTATTACATTTTACATTTTGACGTATTTACCGTTGATGTAAAGTTTGTCGGGCTCCGATCTACTAAAATAAGCACGTTTACCGTCCTTCCTGGCATTCTTTAACTTCTCCATTTGGAGCTTTCGCATCTCGTGGATTTCTTTCGGGAGGTCTTCATACATCTTGTATCCTGTTTCCTTGAGTTTACGTCCGCATTTGAGCACCCGTTCTCGGTCTGAAAATCTTAAGAAACGCGCAATAATGATCCTTTCTCTTCCATTTTCCTTTCTTGGCTTGCCCATTCGGTGTACTCGTTGAAATTCGATGTTCTTTGCATCTTCTATTCCCAGGACTCTTTCAAAGAAATCAGTCAGCACCGCTTTTGTATTTTCAGTAGACACGTCGCCCCGCTGAATAGCTCCATCTTCTTCGCTCGAAGCGAAAGTTTCGGGGATGCCTTCAAATTTCAAGTTTTCGCGTCGACTGTAGGCCTCCAAGTATAACAGTTTTCTACGTGTATCGCTGACGTCGTCATTGTTTTTATTAGTCTTAGCTATCAGGTCTTGTACTTGCTCGTCAACGAATACAGAACTTTGTTCCATTGAAGTGAAGTATTCGTCTAAGGTTTTCTGCTTCGTTTTCACTGAATCTACTTCTCTCTCCAAAGACGTTACCTTGCTTTGTAGACCTTTGACTGCTGCGTTCAGTTCTTCCATTTTTGTTTCCAGGTTAGAAAGCTTCGATAACACTAAATCTATTTTGGATCCGAGTGCTTCCATGACCTCGTCTTCGTCACACGATATCTTAGCCGGAGAATTTGATTCTTTCAGTCTTTTATCTTCTGGTGACGGCTCCGAATCACTGCGATAGCTACTTTTCCGTTTTGGAGTGATGAATAATTTTTCCATGGACGTTCAAACGGTAGTAAAATTGTCCGGTTTACGGAGCCTCGCAACACACGTCTACATTCTGTGACGCTCTCCCCAGTCCACCCCCTAATAATTTTATACTTTTCACAGTCTCAAGGGTCTGACGGTTAACCCAGACAGGATCAAATTCTGGTTCTTTTTTTGCGAAGCTAATCCTATGCTCTTTACATTTCCTTTCGTTCAACTGAAAACCTTCATCCCTTGCTTGTATTGCGAGATCGTCTACCATTTGCTGAATACAGCTCTCTTGGCCTTTAGCTATCACCTCTGAAATTGTGGTATCATCCACATATTTCCACATCTCTGCTTCTCCTGCATTCAGATCATGAATCATTATTAAAAATAACCATGGCCCAAGCTTGGTCCCCTGTGGGACACCAGCTGGAATGTAACGCCATTCGGAGAAGCAATCCTCGGCCAGTTTAACTCTCTGTCTTCTATCTGATAAAAAGTCAACAATCCAGCATAATATGTGGTTTAGAATATCGTAATCTAAGAGTTTACGCACTAAGATGTTGTGATCAATAAAATCGAACGCCTTACAGAAATCAAATAGAACCACCCTAATCACGGCCGAATCCCATCGGAGCTGACATACCAGTTATGGATCATGCTAACAAGTGCGTGCGTAGTGCATGATTTAGGTATTGTCCCATATTGTCTTTTGTCGATTTTCTTTAACACGGCAGGTATCACAAATTCATGAACAATGTAATCTTCTGCAATCTTGGAAAGGATAGGCGTAAGGGAGATAGGGCAAAGGTGCTTATTGATGTCTTGGATAGGTCTTTGCTTGGGGACAGGGACGATATCTGCCTCTTTCCAAGATGAGGGCAAACGGCCTTCACGAAGGGAGACATTCATGATATCCATGAAAGATGGTGCCAAAAGATCCGCATTCTCCTTTAGGAGCCATCCGGGGATACCATCCGGTCCTTGTGCCTTAGCTGGATTAATAGAGCTTAACTTTCTAAAGATAGAAAACGCTGATATTGATGAGAAATCATCATTCATAATTCTGCTCGAAGGCACAAAATCGTCTCCCCTAAATAGATTGTGGGTAAGCGGTTCAAAAACCTCCATTGGGGCCAAGAAAGCTGTGATGGTGTGGTTTGCAAGGTCAGCTGCTGATAGACCATGAGCACCTTCTAAGTGATGAACGGACTTTAGGACATTATCACGTGACCCCTTCATTCCACTTAGTTTCTTGATTTCGCCCCACCACTTAGCTGGGGAACATTCCTTTAGATGTTGCACTTTACACTCGTAATACTTCGCGCGGCATCTTTTACATTCTCGGTTAACAAGATTTCTCAGATGGTTAAACTCCGCTCGGTCTAAGGCCACTTGTCACTTTCGAATCAAGGTCTTAAGTGTTGAATTTATCCATGGTGGTTCTGTTCGGTGGACAATTTTAGGCTTCATCGGTAAGACAGAATCAAGGCCAGTTTTGATGATCGTTTGTAACATCGACACCTTTCCTTTGCAGGTGGTCGTAGCTCTGATCATTGCAGTAACATCGACTTCATATAAATATATTTGCATTGCAACATGATTACTTGGTCGTAAGTCCCTTGAAATAACAGTTTGTATTGTTTGCAATGTTTTGACCCTTTGCTTTGGCTGTACTTCAACTGAGCTATGATCTGAAAGACCAAAAGCGGGACGTTCAACCAGGGTTTCGTAGTAATCCTGAAGGTTGGTAAGAATCTTGTCGAGAGTGTTTTGCCCACGAGTAGGAAAATGCACAGTCTGCTTCAGTTTTGAGTCCTGCATCGTTCAGATGGTTAAGGTCTTCGAGTACGAGAATACCGCAATTTGAGTATTTAGACTCCAAGTCCATTAAACACTTAGTCAAATAGTCCAACATCATAGAATTTGTTGCTTTTAGTGGATGATAAACAACATCAGCAATAATACTTAAGATGCCTCTTGGGAGACGAGTCGGGCGCAATTTAATCCAAAATACCTCAAAAGAGCATTTTTGTCCTCGGGATCCTAATTGTCAAAATGGTCAAGCTGGGTTAGTTGGTTTTACTTCAGAAATGGTCAAACTAACTTAAATGACAAAATGCGTAGCTTTTTGAAATGGTTCAACACGAGAAAATGCATGAATAACTTAATTAGTTCAACTGCACAAACTACACAAGCTGGCTTAAATTCTTCAACTGCTTAATTAGTCAAACAAGCGGACACAAATAAACTGCACACATTGCAAAAGTTATTTTAATTGGTCGAAGTAGTTCACATGCTCAAAGTAGCCTTAATAGTTCAAATGGACAAAATGCATAACTAGCTTAATTGGCGTAACTGCACAAACTGCACAATCTAGCTGAAATGGTCTAACTGGTTACAAAGGCAAACTAGCAAAAGCAGATTAACAACACAAATTGCACTACATATCTTAATTGGTTAAAAAAGTTAAATGGTCGGCCTAGCTTAAACGGGTCAAGAAGACAAAAATCAGAACTAGCTGATATCGTTAAAGTGGAAAAAAACAATAAGTAGCTTAAATGGTTCAACCGGCCTAATGTTAATTGAGTGATTACAGTTAAACAGCACAAACTGCACAATCTATGGTAGTTGGTCGAAGTAGTTTACATAGTTAAAATAGCATAAATAACTCAACTAAACAAAATGCATAAGTATGATATGAACTTTGTCCAGTTCAACCGCTTCTGTTAGCATCATTTTGTCATATGAGATAGTTAGACTGTTTTAAACTACCTCGACCAATTAAGAGACATCATAGAATTTGTGAAGTGACCTTGACTACTTAATCATATGAACTAATTAATCTAGTTTGATTATCTTAACTTGCTAAACCAATTAAACTTGGTGGTACAGTTTGTGAAATAGCTTAAATGGGTCAACTGGCTAAATGTCAATCAAGCGATAAGAGTTAAGCTGCACACATTGCACAATCTATCTTAGTCAAACTAGCTTAAATGGTTGAACTGAAATAAAATGGATAACTAGCTTGATTAGTTCAACTGCACAATCTGGGCAATCTATCTGAAATGGTTTAAGTGGTTTTACAGTCAAAGTTCTACTGAGAAAAATTGCATAATCTATCTGAGCTTGTTGGAGTACTCTAAATGAACTACAATAAACGGCAATCTAGCTAAATGTCTTAAAGTGTTTAAAATGGACAACTATTTTAATTGATTCGACTAGTAAAATGGTTAAACAAGGGCAGACAGTTAAACTCCATATATTGCAAAATCTTTCTTAATTTACTGAAGTAGTTGACTGGTTCAATTGCACAAAATGCATTACTAGCTTAAATGGTTCCATTACACAAACTGCATAATCTAGCTTAAGTCGTTTAGTTATTTAAGATAGGAGTATACTACTTGGGACTTTTAAGGCATATTTATCAGATATCAGTGATCTTGTGTTTCAATTATTGCACGGTAATTTTGCACTGGCTTATTCATATAATACCTAACCTTTCCTAGAATCCAACTTTCTTCCCTAGTTTGACTATTTAACCATTTGAACCATTTAAGCTGGTTGGCCATTTAAACAACTTTATCAAATAAGGTAGATTGTGAAATTTGTGCAGTTTAAATGTCTCAGCTACTTTGACTATTAAACGTGGTTAACCAATTAAGCTTGATTGTTCAGTTGGTGCAGTTGATGGCATTGTTTCCTGTTGAGCCAGTTTACCTACTTTGACCATTTGAGATAGTGGAATTTGTGCACTCTTACTGTTTTAGTTCAGTTCAACCAGCTAAACTAGATTGAGAAGTTTGTGCAGATGAATTTTTGAAGCTAGTTATGCATTTTGTCCAGTTGACCCTTTTAAGGGTAGCTTGATCATTTGAACTAGTTGAAATGGTTAAACTCAACAAAATGCATAAGTAGCTTAAATGGCTCAACCGTCTAAATATCAATCAACATGGTCAAACAATGTTAAATGTTATAACTGGAGAAAATGCATAAGTAGCTTGATTACAGATCGAGAGATTTTCAAAGGAGATGCAAGAATTAAAGAGTGGAAAAGAAGTCAGTAACTGATTTGAAAGTGCTGACTCCAGTAGTTGATGAGCGAGGTGTGTTGTAGGTAGGAGGGCGACTTACCAGAGCACAACTTCCTTATGACACTGCTCATCCTATGATTCTACCAAAGAAACATCATGTCACCTGACTGATTGTAGCAGATGTCCATAATCGTTGCCGCCATGCAGGAGTGAATCATGTACTAGCACAAGTATGATGTTGTTACTGGATCATAGAGGGTCGGCAGGAAGTGAAGAATTGGATAGAGAATGCAAGCCGTGTGAGAAGAGGCATGCAAGACTGGCAGTTCAGATTGTGTGGACCATGCAGGGCCCTTCACGACCAAGATTACACAAAGAGTATCTGCCAAGAGATACTTGTGCCTGTTTACATGTTCTACCACCAGAGCGGTATACTTGGAGGTGGCCTTTTCATTGAGTACCACAGACTTCCTAAACGCATTCAGTTGAATGGTAGCCATGAGGGGAAGACCGTAAGAGGTTTCAAGTGATAATAAAAGCAACTTTGTAGCCGCTGATAGGGAACTTAGAGAACTTATTCAGTCAATCCATCAAGAGAAGATTGTGGATGAAAGTGCCAACAATGGAATAAAATGGAATAAAATGGAATAAAATGGAATAAAATGGAATAAAATGGAATAAAATGGAATAAAATGGAATAAAATGGAATAAAATGGAATTGGAACCCACCTGAAGGTTCTCCCTTCAGAGGAATTTTTGAGTCACTGATTAAAGTAGCTAAGAAGTCCTTGAAGGTCATAGTTAGAAATGCAGGACTAAACGATGACGAACTTCAAACCGTGTTTAAAGAAGTAGAAGTGCTGATGAGCTAAATATCACTCGGCTTTTCATGATGGGTCGAGGTGATCATTAATATCAGTCTGGGAATGTGAAAATGACCACAGACATCCCAAAAGGTACGAAATTTTAACGAAAAACCTTTTAACTTCATCATTTGCTCCATTCATTCTCATTAGAGAAAACATAAAACAAAATTAAACAAAATCATATAATCATAAAACAAATGACTATTATGCTGTTTTCATTGATGTTTAATCATTAACAGAAGGTGGAAAGTGGAAAATTATTAGCTGCTACTAGGTCGCTAATATTTATGTAAGGTCAAAGGAAAAATTAGTAAAGATTTCTGGTGTAATGGGAAATAAACTTGTGAACTTTACTGTGGAAAGAACACCATTCTCACCACAATATGTATAGGGAGATTTTAAAAAACAAGGTAGTGGTAATATTCATGAGGGACCAAACTTCAATTGTCATAGTCTTTTCATTTACAGTGGCATTGTTTTGACAGAAGAACAAATCATGGCACACCACGACTTCTTCATAAGAAGGTACAACGTCGATGCTGATCCTGTCAAATGATTTAAAATCTCAAGAAAACATATAAAAAAGCAAAGGCATGAAATCTTCACACAAGAATCAACAAGTTTGCCCTTTTAGCGACGCTGATGGCGCAACAAGAGTATCGTTCAAGATGATATTCAGGCAGACCCCCATTAAATCTCACGAATGAGACATCGAGAGAAATTATTCATGTGTGAAAAATTCAAGTTGCCTTTAAAATCAAGGTTGACTCAAAATGCACACGAGTTAATTTCAAGTCAACCTTGGTTTTAAGGTTAACTTCATGGGTAGCCTTTAGTAGTATTAGCTACCATACCGGGTAACCACTCACAGAGCCGGATATCGCACACGTGACCACTAAGAACAATAGACTTCACACCCAAGACTGTTTTCAATTCCCAAGGGACTGACATCACCATTAGTAATATATTCATGACGTCATTTATGTATTGACGTGTTTCTGCATGTCGTCACTAGATGACAACTATATGGAGATATGTGGTGGATTATATATAAGAGGGATTTTGTCATCCATGTGGGAGTCATTTTTAGGCAAGGTGCATGCGCAGAAAATGTAAATATGATTTAAAATATCTAACTCGTCAAACACCGCTCATTTTACAATTGAAGGAAAAGTTTTTAAGTCGTGAGAGAATTTTTCAACCCTAAAACGCAATAAAAAATCTTAAAGCGCAGTAAAAAAAATAAAGCAAACTTATAATCTATATGAGAGTTTTTCCATTTAAGCGTGTGAACAATAAAAACTCACAAAAAATAAACTTTCAACATGTTTATTACAAAAAG